CGACGTGGCGGCCGCAGGGCCACAGCCCCGGGCCTCCCGGCACGTCCAGCCCACCCTGCCGGGCCCAGCGGGCGGGGAGGCCCGCCTTTCGGAAGGTCATTCCGGAGCAGCGTCTCCGGAGGTGGTCTCCGCAGGAGGTCTCCGCAGGAAAACCCTGAAAGCAAAATGCTGTTGCTACCCAGAGAAGATAACAGAGAGGACGGCTCCCACGGGCGGCCACCCCCGCAAGGACGGCGGCCTCCGGCGGGCGGCTTTTGGCCGGCGGTGAGCTCCACGTTTACCTTGAACACCAGCACCGCCCCAGTCTCCAGGCCACCTTCGCCATCGCTGACCCCGAGCGGGGGCGAGGCCTAGGCTCAGGGGCGGGGCCTGGTCCCATGGGGGGGCGGGTGAGAGCTCGAGGGCGGGGCCTGGCCCAGGGCGTGGGAGGGTCAGAGATCGAGGGCGGGGCCTGGCCCCAGGGCGTGTGCGAGTCAGCGTTCGAGGGCGGGGCCTGGCCCAGGGCGTGTGCGAGTCAGCGTTCGAGGGCGGGGCCTGGCCCAGGGCGTGGGCGGGTCAGAATTCGAGGCGGGGCCTGGCCCCAGGGCGTGTGCGAGTCAGCGTTCGAGGGCAGGGCCTGGCCCAGGGCGTGGGCGGGTCATAATTCGAGGCGGGGCCTGGCCCCAGGGCGTGTGCGAGTCAGCGTTCGAGGGCGGGGCGCGGGAGCTCACCTCCGTGGCCAGGCGGTGAGGGGCGGCCCGGGCCCAGCAAATTGCGAGCTGGAGGCGTGGGCCTCTCCTTCAGTCCCGCGAGCGCCTCCGCGGCACAGTAGGAGAGCGATGATGTGTAACCGGAACACTCCAGCTCTGCGAACGCTGCGGCTGCCGGAGCCCTGTGGAGCCTGGCGAGGAGTCGCTTCGCCCCAGGGCGAGCCTGAGCTCCGGGCGGAAGGACCCTGCCATAGAGACGGGAGGTGGGGTAATAGTTGAGGGCGTGTGGTTGAAAATAACCATGGATTCGCGGGAGGTTTGCAGACCTGGTAGGACAACCAGGGATCAGAAGTGGCCAACGGAATATTTTAAACCAACTATATCATGTCAGTAACCGTCTGTGGGTATATTTGAGTCCTGCCAAAGCATTTGTAAAGTATGTTCTTTGGGGAAGAGTTCTGAAGAGTTGGAAGGGCCTTTGGCTGTCTCGCCTTTGCCAGTGCGGCAAAACGTAAACGGCGGCAGCAACAAAATCCTCTAAATCCGGGGCTCCGGGCGTACTATCCAGGTACGCCTGGGTTTTTTAGATACATGTACCTGATACTTGTCGACTACCTATAGTGAGCCAGGTCCTAATTCTTCCAGCAACCCTGTCTGAAAGTGGGTATTGCCTTGTTATGCAGAGGTGGAAAATAAGACCCGGAAAGATTAATCAGGTGACTTGACCAAAGACTTGAGACTTGCTACGTGGGCAGAGTCCAAGTCTTTAGTAACTGAATTATTCCATCCTGATGGCCCTGGTGTTTCATCAGACAGATCTGGGCGGTAGTATGGGTGGTAGCAAGATGGAAAGCCAGGTAGAGGACAAGTTGGGCTTATTCCAAAATCTTTCTCCTGATGCTACAAAGTAGTCATTGGTAGGCTGAGCTGTCTCTCAAAGATCCTGACCCTCCCCAGGCATATAAGTGATGAAGAAGTAATAGAAAAGCAATAGTCAGAAATTGCAGATACTGGGAAATTCATTGATCTCCAGGAGATGAAACACCTCTGACAAACTTTTTTTTTTTTTTCTTTTTCTGACTGGTGAGGGGATCATAACCCCTGGCACGGTGTTGTCTGCACCACGCTCAGCCAGTGAGCACACTGGCCGTCCCTGTATAGGATCCGAACCCACGGCCTCAGCGCTATCAGCACCACACTCTCCCGAGTGAGCCACGGGGCGGGCCCAAACATTCTTAAAATCCCTTACCAATAAGCATGTTTAGACAGTGAAATCTTTCACAGTATAAGTGAACTCTTATCAGGCTTATACCT